CAGGGCGTTATAAATGTTCACAAGATGCATTTCGGAATATACACAGTTCGTTGATATAGTTCGGTGTTTATGTCAGTCAACAAGTGCTTTACATTTGCTGTTATCGTAGCTAGCTCACAAGCTAAATCGCTATCTGTCTAGCCTACACCAGCTTCCTAACATTAGTTCCGCTTGCTAATAGGCTGTACAAGAATAATCTCGGCTGCCTGATATTCCGAACAACAACGCTGAAAAGGAAGAAGAGGTAAGAGGGGTTTGGTGACTGTAATGTTCAGACATTAACTGTCAAATGTATGTCTCGTTATTGTGAGGACAAATTTGGTCCTGTCTCATTGCGGGGGAGAGAAACGGCACCGTAACGTTAGGTGTCCTAAATACATCTGGATCGTGCGCTTTTGATTACAGTGACTGCTGAAAATGACGAGTTTAACCGCTGCTGATACTAAACAAATGTATAAATCAAGCTTCATGTGTCGGTCGTGCCATTTGCCTGTTGGTACTGGGGATGACGTAATGTTTTTCTCCCATTCACCGGTACCTGTATGTAGGTTTACGGTGTAACGCCACAAAGAAGGATACCGACACTTCACCCCTGACTCATTAGACAAAGTCTTTCAGCCGGCGAGATCATGAGACCACCTATAAAGAAGGATGAAACTGAAAGTGAAAGGTTGTACCTCAGGCCGCCTAACGTGGCTGAGGCGTGGTGTGGTGCGGTGATGTTTCCCGTTAATGGCAATGTAATGACGTGTGTCTGTTTACAGAAATGAATGTGCATGTGTTTCTGTAAGGGATGGTGCAGCCCCAGCCTGACTGCCCAATGCAGTGGGACATGTCGGGAGAGGAGAGTGTAGTGGCCCTCAGGGTCCCACCAGAGCTGGCTGCAAATGAAGTGGTGAGCAGGCTGCTGGGGGACAACCAGCAGCTTAGAGGTAGGACATGTTCCCGTAATTCACAGTAACAAAGCAGCATTTACTTAAATTTAGACATGACATATCTGACATGACATTTTGATGCTAGAGCTGGACATTAGTGATGGAATCAAACAGCATATCAGTAATGCAGCTGCTGAATATGGTAATACTGGTGGAATGATAATTGGTGATTTCAAAGGAAGGGCCATGAGAAAGTAATGTGTCTATGTGGGCAATGCATAAGTGGTGGCGTTGTTTATTAGCACTTTTATCCAAAGTGCTTTACAGTGTGCCTCTTATTTACCCATTCATCAACCCCTGGGTTGTGTGTGTACAAGGTCAAAGTTAAAGGTGGTGTTGGACGGGACAAAAACATAGAGACACCTCTGAATACCATGTAGTCCACTACAACACCACATTTAATTATGGCCTCAATAATAAACATATACAGTAATTCAATGTTTGGTTTCAATTTTACAAAGAATGTGGATTACACCAATAAAAACTGAATGAATGGAGGTAATCTATCAGCAGCAGTTTGGGTTCTGTGTCTTGTTCAAAGACAGTTCAGTTTGTGGACACATGAAACTTGTCTTCACTAAAATGTATTTAGCTTTCCCTGTTGGCTACGAGCCCTCTTGCAGTGGTGGAAGAGGTACTCAGATTGTTTACTTGAGTAAAAGTAACAATATCACATTGTAAAAATGCTCTGTTAAGAGTTAAAGTCTTGCATTCAAAATGTTACTTAAGTAAAAATACAAAAGTATTAGCATAACCTATACTTAAAGTACTATAAGCAAAAGTACTTATTATGCAAAATGGTGCAGTTTACATTGATGTACACCATATTATTGTATTATAATTACTGATGCTTTACTGTGTACATCACATCTAATGTTGTGGCCGGTAAAGGGGGAGCTAGTTTTAACTACATTATATACATTTCATTTGAAGTACTACTGGGTAGTTTCTGAATTTTCCACCAAGGATCAATAAATCTTATGCTTATACTGTATTTTGTTTTATTAACCTCTTTCTGAAAAGCAACTAGTAACTAATATTATCAAATAAATGTAGTGAGTACAAAGTACAAACTTTTTCTCAGAAATGTTGTGAAGTCGCAGTATGAGATAGCAGAAAATGAAAACACTCAAATGCAGAAATTGTACTTAAGTACAGTACTTAAGTAAATGTACTTAGTTACTTTCCACCTCTGGTTTCTTGGTGTCCCTCTGCATGACATCGCTGTCTCCTTTTGCCTTCACCCTTCTGTTCTCCAGAGGCCTTGCGGCGGAGCAACCTAGCCTTGCGTCAGCGTTGCGAGGAGTTGGAGGGATGGCAACAAAGGGCGAGAGAGGAAAGAGAATTTCTCAGCTGTCGTTTCCAAGAGGCCAGGGCCCTAGTGGAGAGGCTGGCTCAGGAGAATCACTCTTTACAGGGCCTGGTGAATGGCCCAGCCTCCTCTTCCAGCCACTGCTGCAGCTCCAGCCAGACTGAAGACCTACAGGGGCACACAGTGAGGAACGGCCCGCTGGATGGACCACAGGTTATACAGCTGAAATCCACACACCTGCTTCCTTATGTTCACACATTAGTTGCATGTTAGCTCCCACTGTTATCTCTTATACTGCTGTGTTGGTACATACAGTGGGTACGGAAAGTATTCAGACCCCCTTAAATTTTTCACTTTGTTATATTGCAGCCATATGCTAAAATCATTTAAGTTCATTTTTTTCCTCATTAATGTACACACAGCACCCCATATTGACAGAAAAACACAGAAT